ATTTTTCACAAATCTCGCTTTAATTTTTATTTTTAATACTGCATCTTCTCCCTGCCCAGACACTTTCTGCAAGTTCCTGGTATTATTTTTCCCATGCCTGATCTGTCTCCTCTCGTCTTTTACTGTTTGACCTCAGTTACGGATCAGGCAGACAGCTCTCCGTAATGAGCTGCTCTGCCTAGTCCTGTGGAGATGGATCGGACAGTCGGTGGTAAACAAACTCCTGGAGGAATAAAGTTGTTTTTCCAATTTGGGAACTCTGGAAAACATGAGAAATACTGGATTTTAATGCCAAAATTTGAATGTTTGTGTGCTTTTAACTCATGGGAAACAAGAAAACAAAGCACTGTTTTTATTCGCGAGGAAGCTGCAGTCCTGCCAGTACTAATCCAGGGCTGCGGGTTGAAGGTGCATTGTGTAACTTTTTTTTTTTTTTTTTTTTTTCGGTGGAGAGTCCGTCAAATGCTTTTCTCCATGGAGATGTTATTGCTTTGTCTGGAATGTTTCACAGTATGGTATTAAACCTTTCTATCTTCATGAAGACAAAACAAGACCAAGTTGCAGGTCAGGCCGTCAGAATGCCTGTTTTTTGTTGTTGTTGTTGTTGTTTTCGGTATAAAACCACAAATTTAAAGATGCACCGGGCAACTTTTTTTTACACTTGTTACGTTTTACTTTTACATTTATTCAGTTACGGCTGATTTTAAAGCTCAATTTATACTTATAAAACAGGCATTCTGACTGTGTGCGGATTCACCTCTCCACAGATCTGACCAGTAACTTCCTCTCATTTTGTCTCCATGAAGAAAGGTTTAATACCATACTGTGAAACATTCCAAACAAAGCAATAATATCTCCCTGGAGAAAAGCATTTGACGGACCGTCCACCAGTAAATTTACACAATGTACCTTTAATAAATGTAAGGTAGAACTGTTTAATGTCATATTGTAGACTCACTGTTGGGCAAGTTACTTCAAAACTGTAATGTGTTATTTATGACTTGTTACTGTCATTTCAGAGTGATTCGTTACATTACAATATTACTGTATTTAAAATGTAAAGCATTACACAACTGTTGCATTACTTTTAAGTTACTCTCAACAAAATAATTGTTGCTGATAGTCAAAAAAACAATCAGCGACTGAAGATGTCGGACTTTTGCGCCGTATATGGACTGAACCAGGACTAAACCAGGACTGAACCGAGGACTGAATCAGGACTGAATCAGAGCTGAAGCAAGATTGAAACAGGACTGAACTAGGACTAAACTAGAGCTGAACCAAGACTAAACCAGGTCTAAACCAGGACTAAACCAGGTCTAAACCAGATCTAAACCAGAGCTGAACCAGGACTGAACCAGGACTAAACCAGGATTAAATCAGGTCTAAACCAGAGCTGAACCAGAACTAAACCAGGTCTAAACCAGGACCTAACTAGGTTTAAACCTGGACTAAAACCAGAGCTGAACCAGGACTAAACCAGGTCTAAACCAGGACTAAACTAGGTCTAAACCAAGACTAAACCAGAGCTGAACCAGGACTGAACCAGGACTAAACCAGGACTAAACTAGGTCTAAACCAGAGCTGAACCAGGACTGAACCAGGACTAAACCAGGATTAAATCAGGTCTAAACCAGGACTAAACTAGGTCTAAACTAGGACTAAACCAGAGCTAAACCAGGACTGAACCAGGACTAAACCAGGACTGAACTAGGTCTAAACCAGGACTAAACCAGAGCTGAACCAGGACTAAACTAGGTCTAAACCAGGACCAAACAAGGACTAATCTTGGACTAGGACTACGATCTGGTATCAGATGTGCTTTGCCCCATGGAGCGTGGACCTCTGCGTTGGTCCTTTCACCCGCAGTTACCTGACGGTTTACGCAGGCGCACCTCCGGGCCCGTCCCGACATTCAGAACCGTAACTTTGGCGTTTCACCGCTGCTGATATTCGCAATGATTTTAGCAAATTTGTATGAAGAAAAATGAAAAACCCACCACTTCAATCCAGGTTAATAAAAATGCATTGTGACACGCGTTACTGACATTTGTACCGAGTGAAATATTAACATTTTTTCCCTGTAATGCTGAACATTACTGTGTTACAGCAAAAAGCAATGCATTACAGTAATTTGTTATTTTTATAACGCGTTACTCCCAACACTGACTGTGGAAGATTCCTGGCAGAGAAATGACAAACAGTACCGTGCACCTTAAGACAGTACAGGCTTTAATGTGGATAAAATTGTGTGTGTTATATATTCCCAAAAACAAAAATGTTAGAAAAATGAAAAAGCCCTCATAACTTCATGGCACCAGTGCATTTCGACCCAGCATGGCCTTCCTCAGGGTGCAGTCTCAGTTGAACTCATGTTCTTGAAAACCTTTTGAAAATCTTTTATTATATTTCATTTCTATGGACCCACACAGCACTCCTTATACTTTTTATCCTTCATAAAAGGCTTGAGTGGAGGATTGAGTGAGTGAAGGACGGAGGCAAGACATTGTGAGGATAGAAAATGGCTATACTGTAATGATGTTATATTATTTTGCACGTCGGGGGTGTTCTACTTGTACTGCTATTGTTGGAAAGTTTAAGAGTTACCATGGAGACACATTAGCAAACACTGTCAAACAAGTTTAAAGATTGTCTGAAAACTCAAGAAAAATACAAAATGACTTTAAACGACACATTTTCAGGAGCCTGTGATCAATACGAGCGTTTATGGTTTAGGAATTTGATTTTCAACAAAAGTGAGAGTAAGGCTGTGCAATTGATCGAATTTTGATCATGATTTCAATCTCGATTTGTGTCATAACGATCTCCAAACTCATATAATCAAGTTGAAACGATTTAAAGCTTAACAAAGTTTATTTTGGAATATTTTTTATAGAGAGATTGTAGAACATCTGGATATATAGTTTATTTTGGATACAGTTATGTTTTTCTATGCCTTATTTCATGTTCAATGTATGTTTTCATCACAAAACTGCTCTAAGATACATGTTTTAGCCTATATTTATTTTCAATTTGAAGTTTTGCGCAAATTATCAATAACAAAGTGTTGCTGAATAAATGCTGATGCTGAATAAATGCATTGTGTAACAAAAAAATATATATATAATTTGAATAATCATGGATTTCAATATTGACCAAAATAATCGTGATAATGATTGTTTTCCGTAATCGGGCAGCTCTAAGTGAGAGTGACTAAATTAAAAAAATTAAAAAAACTATTGGCTAATGCTTTGTAACACACTTGTTTTGTGATTGATTGTGTTAAAATAAAACTCTGATTAAATTCTAGTAGAACGTCTGACAGAGTAATGCCTTCAGTTAGCGTCACACCCTGTGAGAGTGTGTTAGGGTTGAAGTACAGTCTGGTTTGGTGGGCATGTTGATTTGAGTTCTATCTATCAAACTGAATACAAATGTGGCAGAAGATATTGAAGGATGTATATTATGAAGAGGAGTGGACCGAGTACTGACCCTTGCGGAACACCAGAACTGAAAGAGGAGCCTGATATGCAGTTTTGTCCTTATTTTTAATACTCACACATAGTTTGCCAGAAATATAATTTACGCTCTTCGTTCCATTCTCAGTCTTCAGTACCTAAAAAGATAGAAACCTAAACTCCGCCCACAAACACATCGTAAATAGAGCTGCTAAACTCGCCAGTGCCTGAAATACTAAAGGGGAAAGTGAGGGGAGAGAAGGGGTGGGATCTGCAGGTATAAGTAGCAGTGTTAGTTGTAGTCAAACACCTGTCTGTTGCCAGTTCAGTCCTGTGATATGTGACATAGTACTTGAAATGGCAGTGGCTACTGGTGGCAGCACAATCATTTTGAACACAAAGCTTTTAACACTGCGTGAGTTGTGTGGTCCTCTTTTTTTTTTTTCACTTTATTTATTTTACTTATTTGCTGCTCTTTTATGATTTTTATGTTTTTTGCTTCTATTTAGATTTTACTGGTTTTATTGTTTTAGGACTGTTTTTTTGCAATTTACTTTTTTAGTCCGGTTCCTTATATACTTTTGGGGGAATTTTTTGGGATTTGCTAAACTATATATTTTTGGAAAGGTATAGTATATGGAGTCAGAAAATCAATGTTTGCATTTGCCCAGATGTCTATATGGCGGCCATATTGAATAAAAAAAAAAAAGGCTGCCAAAAAACTCTTTTTGAAATATCTCAGCCTCTGAATAAATTTAAATGTTGATTTTAACTGCTAAACCCCCATTTTCAGGGTCAGGGAATCAAATGGTGCTAGTTACAAAGCTGTAAGACCTACCCACAAAAACATGTTTAAGAGGAACATGGAGTATTACATGTGAATATTGCAATGAAATTGCAAGAAAACAACCAAACCTTGTCATTTTGACCCACTTATGCATCTAAGGGTTAATGTGAGTAGGTCTTATAGCTTTGCAACTAGCACCATTTGATTCCCTGACCCTGAAAATGTGGGTTTAGCAGTTAAAATCAACATTTCAATTTATTCAGAGTCTGAAATATTTCAAAAAGAGATTTTTGGTGGCCATTTTTTAAAAATTCAATATGACTGCCATATAGACATCTGGGTAAATGCAAACATTGATTTTCTGACTCCATATACTATAACCTTTCCAAAAATATATAGTTTAGCAAATCCCCCCAAAATTTTCACTAAGGTTAAAAAATGAATATAAGGAACCAGACTATTTTGTTGTCTTCATTTTATTATCTCTGTGCAGCACGTTAGAAACTGCTTTGTTTGTAAAATGTGTTATAGAAATAAAGTGGATTTGGATTTGGACAAAGCTGAAAATGTATCCAGTATCCACTGAAATTGCCAAAAAAAAAAAAAAGACTAGGAACAGTAGAAAATACAATTAAAACACCATACACAGCTTAGGAGCAAAAGAAAATTGATTTAGTTTTCCACAGAATAAAAGTCTGCTTGTCTTTACATATCTTTACTTAACTTCACTTAACCACCTTTGTGTTCTCCTTCAGGTGATCCAGACCATCCGCGCAGCAGACAGGGACAACTTTGCCAATGGGAAGTTTTCATTCCGAGTTCCTCCAGAGCATCAAGTCAACCCCAACTTCACCGTCAGGGACAACGGAGGTAAGATGTGAGCAGATTATCACGGGCGCAGAGAAATATTAGATCTACCAAATGTGTTTAGGTCCCACAACAGTTTGAACTGAGCTTTTTATCAATGATCCCCTTCGAAAAATATGTTTGTTTTGTTTTGTGTTATATGAGGCAGACTCCTCTTTGACACCTGAAAACAGGGGCTTCCCCCAGCTTGTTTAGTGTAGCATAAAACGTGACATAAATCTATCTCCTAATGTTCCAAATTCTGGTTTTAACTTTTTATCTTTGTGGAATAAATAAGTATTAAATGAAAGTGCAAAATAGTTATGATTAAACTAATAAAAATACATGCTTTAAGGTGTGTGCTAAAACCTGACGCAATTTCTCACAGAAAAGTTTTTAAAAAATCACAGCACAGTTTTGCTTCTCTGAGTGAACGAATCTGCAAAATGGGACGTTTTTTCCAGCATGCACAAAATCTGAGGCAGGGGAAATATCAATGAAGTTGTTTAGCGGGTGCTGCCAGAATATGAGACACAATATGACAGCTAAATAAAATAATATAGTACAGTAGCGAAAAGTGCAAACTTTTTACATGTATACTGTAGCTGCTGCAGTTTGTGCACAAGGGTATTTAAGGATATTTAAGGTGCACTGTGTGAATGCTTTAAAATAACCAAGAAGGACAAATAAGATCATAACATGTTGTTTTCAATGTACCAGTAATGAACTATGTGTGGAATTATTGTATATGATATTGTTGGACATGTTTTAGATAACCGCTCATAACTTTCCAACTATAAAATACACTTACTTTTTTTCCCTTGTAAAGCTGACAGTTGCTGCTTTCGGAGCATATTTCCACCATTATCCTACACCACATGCTGCGTGATGATGTAGGGAAAACAAGTTTCCAATAGGAACTTTGTGTCCCACCAAACGCATGCACTTCATCCATTTTGATTGGGCCAAACTTTGCCAAAGAGTTGTAGTGAGTCAAAATGGTCGACTGCTCTGAGCGTCTGTGTTTGTAACAGCTGAAGAATCTGGTTTAAGTGCTGTTATATCTCAAATAAATGGAAAATTATGCATCTTGTCATGCACATCAGTCAAAATGTACAAATACAAATTTAACTTACACCATGAAAATGCAGGAAGTGATGTGGCTCTGTGCCCTGGACCTGACACAAGCTGTTTCCATGACTGACACCAGGAAAGTCATGGGGTCATTGCCCTTTTCTTTTTTTTCTTTTTTTTTTTATTTCTGGTCCTATAGGATTTATTACAGGCATATGACATGAAATGACTGAAATAACAGGTTGTACTGCAAAACAGATAATGCTATGAGAAAATGTTGGGAAGGCACATAAACGTTTGCACAATACACACACTACCCATTGGTAAATCACACACAACACACCCACAAAAGCCATATGCTGATTTTTAGTTTATACTCAGTAATAGTGAAGGTTTAACTAAAGGTTAACCCTTCTAGACCTAAAGGCAATTTTAGTAAAATTTTCATCGCCTGGAAATTTTTTTTCTAATTTTGGTATTAAAACTCCCATTTTTACCCCCAGTGAAGTCTTATACAATCTTTTTTTTTTTTTTTCAGTTCAACCTGTTATTTCACAATCTGCACACTGTAGTTGTGTAGCCAGATTGGCGCCGCCTAGTGCTTTCACTCAATTTCATTTCTCTCCAGCGACTAGGTCAGGAATAACAATACACTGGACAGTTTGAAAGAACCCCGTAAGCTGTAGATCGCGCACCGGCCAATCAGCGAAGAGCTGTGAAGCCATGAAGTCAAGTTGGTCCAGATGGATATAGATGATACAAACTTTGCATTTTTTGTTGCAGAAGTTCACCTCACAGAAACAACAATGATCATTGACAGACATGTTCACTCTCTGCTTTGTTTGTTGTTGTGCCAGCAATTACTTGGACACTACGGAGCTTTCCGGCACACTACATACTGTACAACACGACCAAATAGCAGTGATTAAATTTAAAAGTACCCGCTACTGTCGAGCAAACAAATCCTAATGTTGTGAGGTCAGATGGTTTCCACAAAGTGAAACCGGCTGATGAATCGGGCTAGTAGTTGTGTCACATGGTTGTAATAAAAGCTATAATACCAGAAAAAAAACAAAAAAACAATTACACTCTTTCATACAAAGCACACAGCAAATATGTATAAACAACTTTTTGCTCATAAAAAATGCTTAATTTAGGGCCTTAACTACAAAAGTGCAAAATATCAAGTCTGTAAGTAAACTAAAAATGTCCTTATTGCCCTCAAAAACAAAAAGTGCAGTCGTCCCATTACTTTACTGGTGCCAGTCATGGAATCGTATACGATACCGTTTTGTGTTTTTTTTGTTTGTTTTGATGACAGAAGTATTCAGGTATTCAGTTTTATAACTCACCATTACTGCCTGTATGTATTTTTGTACTTTTCTTTTTCACAAGCTACCAATTAATTAACTGATTTTAAAACCAGAATATTTAGCACAGGTACTATCCCACCAAACCAAGTGATAATTAGAAACACATGAAAATCTGTCACGTGCATCTTAACATGAAAATAACATGTTTCTGGAGTTTCAGTTCGCATTTCTTTTGATCTGTCAGACATTTCTCAGTCAACGTGGCCATTGCTCCGTGTCTCTGCCTGATCCGTCCCAAATGGCATTACTACTGTTTGACCTCAGGTAGACAGTTTTCCGTAATGAGCCGCGCTGACAGCTCCTGCACAGATGGAGCGGACAGACAAACCTTGAAGAGCACTGTTGTTTTTCTAACTCTCTGGACACAGTAAAAAGAAGAAAAATACCTCCTTTAAAAACATTTTCTGCTTTAATGCTTGTGTGCTTTCCCCGATCCAAAACAGACTACAAAGTGTGATTTTTATTCATGAGGAAGGATGTATTTACTGGGTGGTAAGTTTTAAGTTCGGAGTTCGGAATGGACCACGGCTGAAGAATGGTGCGCGCTTTTATGTCACTTAAAAGCGTATTTACAATGTATTATTAATGAGTAAAAACAAGCAAAGAGAGGAGCGGAATTCACTAAAATAGTATTGAAGTTTGTGGAGCATGTGAAGCTTTGTTGCTAAAATGTGTTTTTACAATTCAGATAAAGATAAGGTGGGCGCTTTTCCTAAATGTCTGTAGTTAGAAAACTGTGTTTGCAGTGTACATGTTTAACGTAAACATGGTGATATTGTCAACAGAAGTAAGCATTGAAAAGCAGCGCTCTGATTAGCTGTAGTTGGACTGTGCACAACATTTTCACTTTGCCATAACTTTTTGCCAAAATGAGGTCAAAATAAAAGTATATTTCTTCATTAGGGATGTTTTTATTGCGCTGAGAAACACACCAAACTGTGTCCTAACTGTGAACAGCATCTTGCCTCTTATTTGGCCTGGAGCAGGATATCCTCATGCTTCTTTCCATGGAAATGTTGTCGCTTTGGCTGGCGCAACCTAGTGCCTCCGCTCAATTTCATTTCTCTCCAGCGACTAGGTCAGGAATCGGAATGCACTAGATGGTTTGTAAGAACCCTGGAAGTTGTAGACCGAGTGAAGAGCTGTGAAGTCATGACATCAAACTCAAGCTCCTGTCTGGGTCCCTTTTGTGGTACAGCTCAACAGTAAACAAAGCGATCGAGATGGATGTAGACGAAGACAGACATTCTGTGTTGGCAGCGATTCCTGAGATCGAGGATTTAAAGCCAGAACAAAGAGAATGTTTGGTGAATTTTATCAAGGGGAAAGACGTTATTGCCCTTCTTCCTACGGGATTTGGAAAAAGCTTAATATACCATTTAGCCCCGTTAGCACTGCATTACATACGTCATGACCAAACAGCAGTGATTGGTTAAATTAAAAAAAGTACCCGCCTACAGTTGAGCGAACAAACCCTAATGCTGCGAGGTCAGACGGTTTCTACGAAGTGAAACCAGCTGAAGAATCAGTCTAACAATATTCCACAGTATGGCATGAAACATATCTCTCTATAGAATGTTCTGAAGTATGGTTTAACTTTTTATCTATATGGTATCATGTCGTCGACTCTCCACCTCCATAAAGTTACATACTGTCACTTTAACACATGTGGAAATTAACAATGTGCCATAAAGTTTGCGAGACTTACATAAGATAGATAGATAGATAGATCAGGTTAAGTTACAGATTACAGATTTACATCCTTCCTTCTTCTCTAATGTGAAAATCAAGTACAGGCTCTTTAAGATGTAGAACAGATAACTTTGATGATCAGCAGCAAATATGATTCTGATTCTTTTTCCAAGATTTTCTAAGATTAACATTTAATTTGAGCACTACTTTAGGCTACAGCAGCACATAATTAACACTTCAAAGAGGTTCCTTTTAGTCTTCCAATATTCCCATATAAAACACACACCTTGACACGTTTGGTGACGTATCTTGCGGCTGATTTATACATATTTTGGCTCCATTTTCCTCCTGCATTGGTAAGGTAATAGTGCCACCTGCAGTCTGACTTCTCCAGGATAGATTCACACGTCTTTAAAAGTTGATGGGCCCCTTGTCCTGTAACATCACATGACCCTTCTGAAGAACGATTCCCGAAATCGAGGATTTAAAGCCAGAACAAAGAGAATATTTGGTGAATTTCATCAGGGGGAAAGCCATTATTGCCCTTCTTCTTACCGGATTTGGGAAAAGCTTAATATACCAGTTAGTCCTGTTGGCGTCGCATTACGTTTGGTGATGTGTCTTGGGAATAGCGCCACCTGCAGTCTGATTTCTCCAGAACAGCATCACACATCTTTAAAAGTTGATGGGCGTCATCTTGTAACATCACATGACCTTATGTTATTAGGTTCTTTTTTTAATTATTATTTTTATTATTTATGCATTTATTTGGGGCAAGTAAAGATTTACATTTATATACAATGAAATATATAACATAAGTGAATAGAATAGTAATAGAAATGAAAATAACAATAACAAAAAAATTCTATTATTACCTCCTCCAAG